GTATACCAAAAACGTTGGTAAAACAGCCAAAATACCCAAAGCCCTGGTGGAATCCTGAATGCCAGGACGCCATCAGAAAACAAAGGAAAGCTTGGAGCATTTTTCGGCGATATCCTTCAGAATCAAATCTCGTAATATTCAAAAGGGCTAAAGCAAAAGCTCGGCAGGTGCGAAGGAAAAGTCAGAAGAATTCTTGGATCTCGTATGTGTCTTCGATTAGCTCTTCAACTTCGAGTAAGAAGGTGTGGGAGAGAGTCCGGAAAGCGTCCGGTATCTACAAAGAGCACACACTTTCCATTTTAAAGACAAGTGGTGAAACAGTTACTAGTAGGGAAGAAATTGCCAACGCTATTGGACAGAGTTTCTCAGCCGTCTCACACAGTAGTAACTACCCTCTTGAATTTCTTTCCGCAAAAAAAATGCATTGAAAAACAACTAATTAATTTCAACTCTCCCAATACTGAACCATATAATCAGGATTTTACTGTGCTTGAACTGAAAAGAGCTCTGCTGCAGACAAAAAATTCATGTCCTGGTCCAGATGATATTGCCTATCCTATGCTGAAACATCTTCCTTCCAAGTCATTGGCAACCATCCTCTTTCTCTTTAATAGAGTATGGAAGGAAGGAACAAGTCTTTCCAAATGACTGGAAAATAGCTTTTGTCATCCCCATTGTTAAACCGGGAAAAGACCCTACTAATCCGTCGAATTACCGTCCCATCGCCCTTACTAGCTGCCTCTGCAAACTCTTTGAAAAGATGGTCAACACTCGTCTGGTTTATTATTTAGAGACAAATAATTGTATCTCCCCTTATCAGAACGGTTTTAGAAAAGGAAGAGCAACTATCGATAATATCCTACTCTTAGAAACAGGTATCCGTAGAGCGTTCGTTAGAAGAAATCATTATGTTTCCATTTTCTTTGATATAGAGAAAGCCTATGATACCACCTGGAGATACGGTATCCTTCGTGACCTATATAACAATGGTTTACGAGGAAACATGCCGATATTCATCAAACATTTCCTACAGGATCGGAAGTTTCATGTGAAGATAGGCGATACACTTTCTGACATGTTCCATCAAGAAGAGGGCGTTCCGCAAGGAAGTGTATTAAGTGTTACATTATTTAGTATAAAAATTAACTCTATTTTAAAACAACTGCCTCCAGCAGTCCAGGGTATGCTCTATGTCGATGACCTGCAAGTCAGTTGCCAGGGAGAAGACCTGAAAGACATCGAATGTAAATTGCAGACATCTCTCAATAGAATTGTTAAATGGTCACAGGAAAATGGTTTTAGATTCTCTACTCAAAAGACTGTGTGTGTACATTTCTGTCGAAAGAAAATTCTTCACCCTGACCCCGAACTTTATCTGCAAGATGTGCTGATTCCTGTAGAAAAGGAAATAAAATTCCTAGGAATGATATTTGACCATAAGCTTACGTTCCTCCCCCATATTACATATCTAAAAAAGAAATGTTTAAAAACTATGAATATTCTGAAAGTACTGTCAAATACTTCTTGGGGTGCTGATCGAAGCTCAATGCTTCTTATATATAGAGCTCTCATTCGTTCGAAACTAGATTATGGATCAATCATTTATGGGTCGGCAAGGCCTTCAGTATTAGCCAAACTTGATCCGATACATCACCATGCACTTCGGATATGCACTGGTGCCTTTAGAACTTCTCCAGTGGAAAGCTTATATGTGGAAAGTAACGAGACCTCCCTGCGGTTAAGACGTGAAAATCTTTGTTAACCGAAAATTCTACGCGGTCAATATTGCTTAATGACCAATACTCCCGTTTATATCAGGCACGACCATCATGTGTCCCATCTTTCGGCTTGCGGATGAGTGCTTTGGTGGAGGAGTATAATTTGTCTAATATAGATATACAGATGGAGGATTTTTTTGGAATTCCTCCCTGGGAGGATTGGAGAATCCATTCTCTGGATACTTTTCGACACTGGAATAAATCACAAACTAATGAAATCATCTACAAGCAGATTTTTTTTCAACATAGAAACAAATATAGGAAATATATCCCTCTATATACAGACGGATCAAAATCCCAGGATCATGTTGGCGCTGCTTTCGTCACAGAAAAAAACAATAGTAGGGGTTCGATTACATACAGTTTGCTCTGTGCTTACTTCTGAGCTTACTGCAATCCATCTGGCTTTGACTTACCTTTCAAAACAAAAGTACACAAAATTTATTATCTACACAGATTCCATGAGTGCCTTAATGTCATTGAAAAATCACGCTCAATGTACTCATCCAGTTGCAATCAGAATCCTAAAGTTGAATCATTCTTTAAAAATTCGGGGATACCAGATTCTATATTCGTGGATCCCTGGACACGTTGCCATTAAGGGGAATGAATTGGCAGATATTGCAGCTAAAACTGCAACCACAATGTACAATCTTCAGATTCCACTAGCAGACATCAAAGGGTTTGTCAAAAGCAAAATCCTCAGCAAATGGCAGAAGCAATGGGATGACAGAGTATGTAACAAGCTGAGAAATGTAAAACCCACCATTGGATACTGGCCATGTATGGCTAATAGAAAGGAAGATGTCCTCTTGACTCAACTGAGAATTGGCCATTGTCGCCTGACCCATGAGTATCTTCTGAAGGGAGAAGAGAATCCCAGCTGCCCAAACTGCAATGCAGATCTGACAGTCCATCATATCTTGGTGGAATGCCAGAGTTTTAATTATTTTCGCCAAAAACATTTTAATAGTTCAGAACTGGAATTAAAAAATTTAATTGGAAAAGCATATCATCGTAATTTGTTTCTGTTTTTAAAAGATATTGGCTTTTATAATAGACTTTAACCTGTTTTTTTTTTTTTTAAGATATCAGCTCTTATCATAGACTGTAATCTGTCTCTTACCTAAGCTGGAAGTTTTTACAAATGACTAATTGCATTGTTACCATTTGTCTGGCGCAGATAACCTTGACAGGTTTTGTGCCAAATTACAATAATCCAATCCAATCCAATCCTTCATTCGAAGACTTATGACAGGCTTTCGAACAATGGCATACCGAACTGACAAGCGGTAAGAGAAACAACATGTGTGTGGGGGGAAATGACTGAGGGAGTAAATTACTCTGCAGGGAGAGTGGGTTGTATTTATTGCAGGTGTGCACAAGAATGTTATTCTGTGTTTGAGGAGAAAGGGGGACATAATTTGGGATAAGAATGTACTTCCGATCTCAATGAATTTGCGGAATTATGTGTCAGATATTTTCTATTTCTACAGCATTTGAAGCCGTTATTTTGAAGTGAACATCGAAGGCTTTAGTAAATCGTATTTGCTTTAGTTGAAATATAGTTGAACTAGAGTTTCTTTTAGTAGTAAATATGGCTCCTGCCAAACGAAACAAACGCAGTGCTGGTTTCATATCCAAAGTCATTCAATTTGCAAAAGAAAATGAAAATCATGCTGTACCAAGGATGTTAGGTATTGAATGTTAGTATAGGATCTTAAGTATGAAAGTTCCATACTTGAGTAGAAGAAAAATAAAGTCACAATAATTGATATGTTAAAGAATGAATGTGTTTCGGGAAAAGGAGTAACGAAATGGCTTACACTAGAAGAAATTGCTACGAATTGGGTCTTAGAAAATCGCAAGAATCGCCAATAAAAGCATTTAGGTACAAGTAGAAATCAAATTTTTGTATGCTGATCTTTTCCTTATTTTTAAATGTATCTTTTATAAATTCGGCGTATAACTCAAACACGTAAATTTCGATCTCATTTTTTGTATTAAAAGTTCGCATTATACGATCTGGAAATAACTCGGAGGAAAAAAAAAATTCCCGTGGAATGTCCCTAAAAAATCCGGTTTTCATTGCAGTGAGTTACTGCATAGAAAACATTCATAATAAAAGCCAATATCAATTTTGCGTATTTATCATTGATTTGAGAATAGCATAGGTTCTATAAACTAGATGAAGTTTCGCCTTGACTTCTATGAAAAGATTTTCTTTTGACGGATGATAATGCCAGATCTCATTAAGCCTGTATGGTAGATAAGTATCCTGAAGGTGAAGATATCGATTTGACTGGTCATCATTCTAATCGAATCTCTCTTATTGAACGCTCATCAGCGGCCGAACAATATAATCGCTGACCTGGGCCTTCCAGTTCCGGCCTCAGTCCGAATCCATGCAAATGGGCTGGCTGCATGGGCGTCTTTTTTCCTCGTGCGTAATCTATACGTAAGCCAGTTTCTCCTAGAAAGCCCTCCACGAAGGCATACCTCCCCATAAGCAGAGAGCCCTTATGTGCTTTATCGTAATCAAATAAAACAAACCTCCTGCAGAACATGAATGGGCTGGCTGCATGGGCGTTTTTTTCCCTCGTGTGTAATCTATACATAAGCCAGTTTCTCCTAGAAAACCCTCCACGAAAGCATATCTCCCCATAAGCAGATAGCCCTTATGTGCTTTATCGTAATCAAATAAAACAAACCTCCTTCAGAACATGAATGGGCTTTCTTAGTAGGCTGAGCTTCTAGATGCATTTCCCTCTATTTACCGATCTAAACTATTTACAGTCTCTTAAGAGACTGTAAACATCGGATCTAAGAGACTGTAAATAGTTTAGATCCGATGTTCTAGAAGAAGGCAGATTTAATTCACAGCCTAATTAATGTCGCGAAATGATATTGTGATGCTCATATTAACTCACACTAATCACATACCATACCGACTTCCATTAGGGATAATCGAGTTATCATGATTTACCTGAATGTACACTGCGCCAAAAAAAAAAGGGGGGGGAGACAGTTCTATATCTCTCGTTCTACTCGGCCGATTGACGAAATTCAACTTGCGTATTTCATGCCTCGAAAGCTCGACTTATGATGTGTATTAGATTTATACATTTGCCTGTTCTATCTAAAAATCTAATGTTCACTAATTGATAATATATTCAGAGCTTCAGTGGGAATTTTAAATACTTTAAATACAATATCTTTCAGCAATTTTTATGGATAATGACACTGTATATTGCAAGAGGCCAATCTACTCAAAGCACAGACGTCTCCTCCCTGCACAGAACACTTGCAGAAGAGAAAGTAGATGATTTTATGATGAAACTGCATCTGAATTTGGAAGATATTCGTATTCAACGGATAGGTTCAGTTTTTGAACGGAATGGGAGTAAGTTTTTTCAATTTCGTTATTTATATATTTAATCCAAATGTGATCTCATTTTCTTGGAAAATGCAGTAAATTCGGTACTTGGGTATTATCCAGCCAACCGTGAAACTGTCGCCAAGCAGAGCGATTTAGTTGTAATTATGTATAAGCGTGACGTCGCAATACACTCATAATATCTGCGCTGAATACGTCACCTCGAAAATTCAAACTGTCATAACAGTGCTGAGTGACTGAAGATTTTGATCATAGAAACTGAACATTATTTTACCAAAGCTGCTTCTATTGTTTTGATTTGAAGATTAGCCCTTTAATTCTTAAAATTCTATTCATTGAAACAGGCTCTTAAAAACGAATTTAATAAAAATGATCTGTTTTTAAAATTGTTTTCTAGATGAATTATAAATTTTTGACTTAATGTAGTTTTGTTACTTGAAGGCGTTGTTTGCCAGAGCAAAATTTAAAAATGCTAGGCAATCAGAAGTAATAGGGGGACCGGAAAGTAATGTCTCTTTCTTAAATTAAATTCAAACGAATAAATTTGTAACGAGATTTTATTTTTAATCAATAATATAATCACCCTCGTTATCAGCAACCTTTTGCCATCTAGTATGCCGATTTCAATCCCACACCGATAAAAAATCAATTGGTTTTTGAGTAAAATATCTCGAGATGGCATTTTGGACATCATCCAAATTTTTCAAATTTTTTGTCACTAAGAAAATGTTGTAGGGATCGGAATAAATGGAAATCCGAGGGCGCGATATCGTGTGAGGCAGTACCTCCCACCCCAATTCATTATATTTTTTCAGTGTTCGCCTTGCACAGTGCGTTCTTCAGTGGCGTAGCGAGAGGGGGGCATAAGGTGCATGATGCCCCGGGCGCCGCTCGTAGAGGTGCGCCAAATGGTCTCCAAACAAGATTTTCCGGAAAATTTCAGTTTTTATTTTGATCGATTTCGGGAAAATATATTTAAACTTAATAACTATTGTAATTATTTATATATAATTAATTATTTTCTTGATTTGTCTGATAAAATGTGTAATAACAAAATGTTTGCAGTACATCAACCAAAACGTTCTTCCTGACCACTTTATTTCTCCAAAGTAGAGATATATTTATATTTTTTAAAGACGAAAATGCACGTATATTTCCGCTTTTTATTTTAAAACGATAACACAATTCTGTCCTGAATTTCTCTAACATATCCAGTTTCCAAAACCCGATTCCATAATCTGGAAATGACATTTTGGGACAATCCTAACGCTTCCGCTACAATGGATTGCGTTTGACTCTCCTGTAAACGACTGATGTCCTTCCTGGCTACCCATTCAACTATGTCATCTTGCTGAGACATCGTATATTCACTACTACGAAGCATTCAACGCATGTGAATTGTTTTTAATCTCCTATTACAAAAGAAATACTGAAAGTCGCTCCTCACTCCTTATCTAAAACGCATAGTTTTTGACGTCACAGACTAAATTTGCATATTCCCAACTTTGTAAACGTTATAATTTTCCTTTATAATCTCTTTTATTTCCTTTTGTTCAAAAAAGTTGTCGATTATATGGTTATTTCATACCGAACCCACAATATCTCCTAATTGTTTTGAGCAGTGAATGTGACTGTATGACGTTACTCCGCAGTAGAAAAGAAACGGAACCTAAAACTCCACTACAGATCTATAGATAAAATGTTTTTCCAAACCTAAGTGTCGCACTTCAAATACTACTTACTATTTCATTATCAAATGCTAATTATGAAAGTTCGTTCAGCATATTAAATAAATTTTCCCATATTTACGATCAACGATGGGACAAGATCCCTTAAGTCATCTAGCATTTTTAAGTGTGGAAAGAGAAAAATTTGAAAGGATCGACTTTGTTGACGTAAATAATAAATTTGCTTCATCCAAGGTAAGAAAAATGTATATATAATAATTAATTGTATTCATGTATTACATTATTATTAATAAATATAAGTGCCCGACCAAGTCGAGGTGCACGTGATTGAAGGGAGATGAGGGCAAATTAAAATTTTAAAGTTGTCTGGCTGTGAGTCTGACAATTTCAGATCTTTGGCACTCCAAGCACGAACGTGTCTAGTTGGCTATGTCCTTTTGCATGCTAGGCCGTACGAAACGTTGGTGTATCATTTTTTTCGAAGCCTTGATGCCAGGATGTGACAGACGATGTAACTGACTCAAAATGGCATGGTGAAATCCGAAGGGAACAAAGGTCGAAATCTTGAATCCTGAACATCACAATTAAGTGATTTTCCAGGTGACAGCTGCATCGGCTGCAAGTTGAGATTGGTGGAAGATTTGCTTTTCAAGAGGTTTTGTAGTTTCTGAATCCTGGTGTTATTCATCGGCAAGGGCAGCAAACTTTATTGGCGAAGGAACGGCTAGTTCTTCAATACGAGACAAGGTGTCTGCAACAATATTCTGCGAACCCTCAATATAACGGATAGCTGTTGAAAATTGCCCTATGAAGTCTAGGTGTCTCATATGACGAGGAGAAGTTTTATCCTGTTGAAAAGCATAAGCCTTTTTAAAGGGCGACTGATGTTTTCAGGGAACCCCATCGCCAAATCCTGGGTGTGGAGAATCCTCATCCTTTTAGTTCGAGCGCCATTATAGAGACATTAGTATATTTGGAAGCAAGAGAGATTGAAAAATTAGCAACCGCCTTCGCCGGAAATCGAACCGCGGACCTCTGGAGTACCGGCCGAGCGTGCAGAATCACCAGACCACACCACACCACACCACACCACACCACACCTCGAAGGCACACTAGGAAAGCGGGAGAAATACCTTATAAACGTAGAGTGATAATGGTTTAGATGCGGAAGGATACTGCCGAAATTTGTTGAATTAAATCATTTTGCATTTTTGGAAAGCTTCGCGAGATTCTGTGGTCCAGGTTATAACATGTTTATCGTTTTTTCTTGCTTCCAACCAAAAAAGAATTTAGAGGTGCTTGTATGGTTGGTGCATGAAGTAAGAAACGTCGATAAAAATTGAGCATAGCAAGAAATCTTAAGTTCTTCACTGTAGATGGTTCGGGCATATCGCGGATAGCGGTGACTCTGGAAGGGGTTGAACGCCATTAGCGGAAATTTCATGACCAAGAAAGGATACTCTTGGTTGACCAAGAACGCATTTGGAAAGATTAAGACTTGACACCGTACCTTTGAAAACGTTCAAAAACTGTTCTCAAATGTGATAGGTGTTCTTGCTCTGTAGAGGAGGCGATTAAGACGTCATCAAAATAAAGTACACGAAAGTCGAGGCCGATTAACACCAGAAGAGTTCATGAAGATTCATGAAGAGTTGGAACGTTTGAGCAGCACTGCATAAGTCGAAAATCATGACCAGAAACTCAAATAGTCCAAAAGGCGTAATAACCGCAATTTCAGCTGGGTTAACAGCTGGGACTATCAGCTGAGTTAACGGGCATTTGGTGATACGCCCGCTCAAGATTAAGGGTTTTGAAAATAGCTTTCCCTCTAAAACTTGCATACAGTTTTGAATGCGCGGGATTGGGTAACGATGAGAAATTGTAGCTGCATTTAACCGGTGATAATCGCCACTTACCATTTTGTTTCCGAACTAGATGGAGCGGAGTGGCCCATGTACTTTTTGAAAAACGGCAAATTCCCTTTTCCATCATGTATTAAAATTCCTCTTTGGCGGCTTTAAGCTTGTCCGGAGGTAAGCGTCTAGGTTTAGCGGCAATTAGAGGTCTGTTAGTTTCAATATAATGTAGTACATCGTTCTTGGGTTCGGAAATACTCATAACTGTGGCGCGTTTGATGTAGGTAATTCTCTGAGAAGTTGATGTCCATGGGGAGTTACCCGAAATCAGTTTAATGCTCAAATCTTCACTATTGCGAATTACTCCATGATAAGTTAAGTTGGTTCTGGAATCTATCAAACGGCGATTCTTAAGATCGACAAGCAAAGAAAATTTATGTAAAAAGTCAGCGTCAATAATAGGACAGTAGCAATAATAAATTGTCATTGGAAGTTGCGGCGCAATCCTAAATCAACAGATATCAGGCGTTCACCAGAAGTTTGAATAGGAGTTCCATTTGCTACATAAAGTTGTAACTTAATAAGGCGCTTTTGTTCGTGAAAATGTGGTGGAACGGACAGAAACATCAGCCCGGTGTCTACAAGAAACCTTTAAGCCCGAATTCTTTTCGATGACGAAAAAGCGCGTGCAAAATTCCGGCCGCTGTCATTCACGACTTCGAGCCAACGGCCCTTCTCGTTTCCCTGGTCACGGTGGGTGGCATTTGTTGGCACGGTGGGTCACACGGGTAGGGTGGCATTTGTTTGCCTTGTTTCCAAATTTGTGGTGGTAAAAACAAATACTCCGGAGGAGGGCTTTCATAACGTTTCCTCAGTGGGCTAGGACGTGTATTTCGACTACGTGATGTGGAGAGGTTGCGGTGAAAAGGTTCAGCTTGGATGGCTACTAACTGAGCAACCTGTTTGGACAAATCATCAATTTGAGCCTGTAACGCCACAATACCTGGACCAGGAAGCCTGCACTGCGCATGTATTTGCGCTAGAATGGCCAGTTCGTGAATTTTATCAGCGATTTCGGGAAAGATTGTTAAGTGGCTCGCTACTGGCCGCTAAAATGGTTTGCATGTTAGATGGGAGTCTATTCGTCCATAATGTTTTAAGAATGTTATCCGTTAGGTTACCGGCGGCTAAGTCTGACATTTTAGATAGCAACTAAGAAGGCCTTATATCACTCAACTGTAAATCGTGCAACAGCTGCTTGATTTTAACTATCTCGGATTCTTCATAAACAGAAATTAATCTTTTTTTTTTTTTTTTTTAAGATTTGTATTTGTCCGTCGCCGGTGGATTCAAAATTATTTCACGAGCTGATTGCAGTACCTCTGATTCTAACGCGGCGATCGCTGTATAAAATAGTTCCGTCGACAGTTATGTAACTCAATTTAAACTGCGCATCCAACTG